TAACGATAATACAAAATACCCCAGTTAAATTAAATATCTATATTTTTACAGGGGCACCCGTGACAGAGGTCTGGACAATAAGTCCTCCACTCCGCTCCGGACAATAATAAATAGTAAATTTTTTCCATTTAAATTGATGATTGCGTATCATTGTAAATGTTTATGGAACACGCAAAACTTTTTATTGCACCACAAAAACTTCATATAGTATATAAATATAGGAAAATTCATAGTGTCAGAAGCGTATTATATGATAGCATCCTTTTGCACCAACGAGTGAATATATATATTTTGTTGCACTAATTTACAAATTGAACGCGTGTGCAGACAAAAAATATCTAAATTACATTTTATTTTTGATATGATCTTCATAATATTTATGTACCTAGATGCATCAACAAGGTGATTATTTTTGGTCAAATGTAACTTTTATATTACCTTGCGTAGACACTAAAGGTCTGTCGTTAAATCACAAGGTGATGTCACAAGGATAGATCACCAAATCAGATACAAAAGAGGTACACCATTTAACTTTGCTAGTAAACCATATACTCGTTCCTGGTATATTTAATTTTATAAACGTATGGGTTCATAAGAATGACAGACGTAAAGCAAAGAGAAATATCATGTGAAGTATCTTTAAATAAAGTCCGAATGCAAATATACTGTATACAATATTAACGTTTTGTTTTAGTGTTCGAATGTTCGGAGCAATTAGAAGCATCCTTAGAAAAAGTAAAAAAATTTGATTATTCACAATTTAGTGATGTGCGGTCTATCGGGAGCGGAAAATTTGCTATTGTATTTTCAGCCACCTTTGAAGATAGAAAATATGCATTAAAAAGCCTACATAGCAACTTGCAAATTGATGTTAGAATGATAGGAAGAATTAAACGCGAGGTAACATACTGTTTAAATCCTTAAAGCTAATATTCAAAATTAAGGATTCATACAATGATATACTGTAGATTGAAATTCTTCATAATATTGAGCACGAGAATATCATCAAACTTTACGGAATTTCAAGAGGTATGTAATAATCTGGTTTAAAAATTAGAAGTATTAAAAATGTAAATTTTAACTTCATCTAAATATAATTTAGATTTACTATCACGTAGTTTTATGTTAGTATTGCAACTAGCAGATGGTGGAACTTTACGAATACATTTAGAAAAAAAACAACATGAAAACGTTTACAAAATTTCATGGCATGAACTCATACAAATTGCAAATGGAATTGCTGATGGGTTAAAATATTTGCACACAAATGATATCGTTCATTGTGACCTGGTGAGGTTTAATTTTTTTTTTTAATTTTTTAATTCAAATGCTAAACTTTAAATTTGTTATTATAACTTCCATCAGCATTCTATGAATATTTTAAGGAATAATGGTAAAGCCTTGATTGCAGATTTTGGAGTATCGAAAAATCTGAATGAAATACCTGATCCCAAATTTTCATATTTGATTTGCAATCCTGCATATACCGATCCACAATATTTAAAACACGGAAATAAGGACATGATCGATAACAAATCTGATATTTATAGCCTAGGAGTCTTACTTTGGGAACTTACAAGTGGAGTCCCTCCATTAAATGGTACTCCAAATCCGCTTTTAGCCACAATAATTTTACAAAATAAAAGAGAAAAGGTTATTGCCGGAACACCCAAAGAATATGTCAATCTTTACACAAAATGTTGGTCATTTGAACCAGTACAGCGTCCCTCAATGGACGAAATAAAAATCACACTTGAAAGGCTATCAACTGAAACAAGCATTAATTTCATATCCAATAATATTGATAATGATGTGCATTTTGAAATTAATAGCTATAGCACTAATAATTCAAGCAGGTGAGTATAAAATTTTGATTGAAAGTTGTTTTTTTAAAATAATTCTTATTATCTATTTATGATTTAATACCAATAATGATAGAAGTAAACAAAATCGCCCGTTTTTAAATAAATATATCCTTTGCTTTTCGATATTCATATTTTTCATTTCCATTGGAATTGGTTATTTGATAAGAAATAAAGAGTATACGGTGTCAAATTATGAACTTGAATTAAAAAATAAAGGAGATATTTACCGCAAGATGGGTAGATATGATGAGTCACTTGAATATTTTAATAAATTGTTGGAACCCAAAGATGCATTTGCATTAAGAAGTCGTGGAGAAATTTATAAAATAAAGGAAAAATACGAACAATCACTTGTGGAGCTCACCAAGTCATTAGAATTTGAATCAAATAATGCATTTGCATTGAAAAATCGTGGTAAAACTTATTTCTTTCTAGGTAAATACGAAGAAGCACTCGAAGATTTAAGTAGATCATTAGAAATTGAATTAAGCGATGCAGGAGCATTGATGCTTCGTGGAGCAATTTATATATTAATTGAAAAAGATGAAGAATCATTATTAGATTTAAATAAATTATTAGAAATTGAGCCAAATAATGAAATTATATTAAAAATTCGTGGAGAAGCCTATCGCAACTTGGGAAGATATGAAGAATCACTCGCAGACTACAACAAAGTATTAAAAATTAAACCAAATGATGCAGATACATTAAAAAATCGTGGAAAAACTTACGATTTGATGGGCAAGTATATAGAGGCACTTGCAGATTTAAAC